TTTTTTTTTTTCTTTTTTTTTAAGTTTATTTTGAGAGAGAACGTGAGCAGGGAGGGGGCAGAGAGAGGGAGAGAATCCCAAGCAGGCTCCATGCCACCAGCACAGAGCCTGATGCAGGGCTCGAACTCACGAACTGCGAGATCACAACCTGAGCCAAAACCAAGATGCTTAACCACCTGAGCCCTCCAGGTGCCCTTAAGAACAGGTTCTTGTGTTTGGAATGGAGATGGGCCGGTCCAGGGCTCCCTCTCTGTGGTTACAAGAAGAATCAGGAGTTACAGACACCATGCAGCCACTTCCACAGCACTTGGCCTCTGCATCCCTTCTCTTGGCACTGGAACCTTTCCTCTGCTCCACTTTCAATGTTCTGGCCCAGCTCACTGTGGATTCTCTTCCCAACGCTGCTGTCTTTAATGTGGGGCTGTCTTTCTAGAAGTTTCTGGAAGGTATTTCTGAGAGCCTTGGGCCTCTGCAACATCTTCTTCTGAGTCTTTCTGCACTCACTCTCCAATTGCAGCCAGTGAAACCTCTCCTCAGTTCTTCTCTCACGGAGGACCTGTACTTGCAGGGCAATTTTCTGGCTTCTCTGGTCTTGGCCCTGTCAGAATTCCTTCCTCTGTCCTCCATCACTGCCTGCCTGGTTACTAATCTCACATGGGTGTTACCCTGTTTTGAGGTCTGGCTATACCACTTGGGGTTCATGGGGACACCCTCACACCTACTTTTGTTGAAGAGGGTATTAGTTTTCTAGGGCTGCTGTATCAAATCACCACAAACTAGGTGGCTTAATGCAATGAGGATTTAATCTCTCTGAGTTCTACGAGCCACAAATCAAAAATCAAAGTGTGGGCAGGGTGGTGCTCCAGGGAGGAACCCTTCCTTGCCTCTTCCAGCTCCTAGTGTCTCTGGCAGTCCTGGTGTTCCTTGGCTTATAGATGCATCCCTCCAATCTCTGCCTCTGTCTTCACAGGGTGCCCCACGTCTACGTTTCCCTCTTCTTATAAGAACGTCACTCATTGGATTAGTACTACTCTACTCCTGCAAGGCCTCATCTTATGTCGCTTATAACTGCAAAGACCCTATTTTCAAATGAGGTCACACTCACAGGTACAAGTGGTTAGGATGTGAACATATCTTTTCTGGGGACACAATTCAGCCCACAGCAAAGAAGCTGTGGGTTTCTTTTGTTGTTCCCCCTGCCCCCTTTTGCTATCCTAGTTGCTCAGTTTTACAAAGGGATTTGGGGGAAACTCAAAAGCTGTGCTGCTGCCAACATCATGCCCCAGCCTGGAACCCCGTGGTTGTGCTCTAAATACACATTTCTACAGAATACTCTTTACCACTTTGGAGACCAAAGCCAAGGCAAGGGAGACTGACTAGAGGGAAAGGGGCTCTTACCTCAGAGAGGTAGGAGACCTTTGGTGGAGCTCCTTTAAGGTCCAGATGAACTAATCGCATCTTAAATGGTGAAGAACCTGACATTTCACTATTTGTCATGAAGTCATATGACAAAGTCTCTGGTCTGGGCACTTCTTCCTAGTGGAGAAATTCAAAGTTAGAAGCGGCAGAGGCTCCTTTTTGCCCCTCGGCCTCACACTTTGTGTTTCTGTTCTGACACGCCCAGGTGTGCTTTGTCCACTAGGAGGAAACTCATTTTACCAACGTGGAAATGAATCAAGAAATCTACCTCATGTCCAGATAAAGGGACCTCTGCCACTTAATCGTGATCTGCCCCTAACACAGAACAGCACTTGTTTCCTTACGAGATGGCTGTAAGAACACAAGTGGCCGCAAAATAATTTTGTTTGAAAGACTGTCTTGAGCTATATGTACCACGCGGGGAGAACAGGTAGGTGTAAACATTTTTCAGGCCCTGCAGTACGATGTTTCTGTGGAAAATTGACCTTCAATTTTATTTTACTTTGAAGAGCATTAAAAATCATTTACATTCTAGCGCCCAAGTGAACTTGGTTACGGAGGAAGAAACTGTAAAAATTAAGTCTAGGTCAGAGAAAACTGTCTAGGATTTAAAATAGGCCATGGATAATTTGAAAAATAAGTGAGCCACAGGAATATTAGAGCTGACTAGTTTACGTTAAAGTACAGGAAAGATCTAGAGGGTAATGAAGTAGTTGGGAAAGACTGAAATCTTCCCCCCAGTGAACATAAAAGCACAGAGGATGAGATGCAAAAAGCGAAAGAAAATCTTTACATGGTGGTCATTTTTACAGTCCACTAATTCAAACTACCCATTCTGTGAAAGGATTCACAAACCCCTAACCTTAAGAAATCTATTATAAAGCAGGCAGGATGAAATTGATGCAACAGAAACCGGTTTGGTTTTTTTTTTTTTTTTTTTTTAAGAAATTATATTCAAAACAATCGCAATGACAAAAAAGTTACCAGGTGCCGGGTAGATGAGTTTTGTGAACAAGCATTCTGAGATCCGCTTTTAAAGTTGAATTATTTAAAATCGGACAGACCAATTCCATTCTCCAGGGAACAGACTTAAAAGAAACACTTCCAGGCTGAGGGGTGTGCACTGGTGGTGTGCACATCCCCTCCGGTTCAGAGACAAGCCCTGCTCCCGCCCCTGCAAGCCGAGGTAAGCGAGCACCGACGTCTCACCTGAAACTCACACGGTGGCTTAACAACGCGAAATCTCCGCAAAATCTGAAGGAAAAGAAACAGA